CTAAAAGGTAAAATCTTACGCTATTAAAAAAAAAAAAAATAGGCGTTTTCCTTTTGGGTAACAGTGTTCGACTCGACTGAAAGTTAAACAAATTAATAGCATGTGACATTTTTGTATTTCCCTGGCATCCTAATCACTTATCACTGTATGGCCTATGTGTTAGGAGCAGGGAGGCATGTTTCCAAGTCACTTGAATGGCACGGTGCAGGCTTCTGGCACAATATACAAACATACATCATCAGTGCTTAGGACCAATTTGGGTGCTTGGAAATGGGGACTCCTTCAGAGAAAGAGGTCCTTAGGTAGTCATTAGTCCCACCAAAGCCAGCCCACGTACAGTGTAAGAATAGATCTTCATTTTTGTATCCAAAATAAAAAGCAGGTATTTTTATGTCTCCAGCAACTTGGAAAACTAGGAGAAAACATGTACAAAAGTTCTCCATTTCTAATCACCTCTATACTGTGTAGTTTCAATTAGAAAGTAAAACAATAACAACAAAAAAACTGAAACCCACTAAATAGAATTCTGACTCACAGTGACCAGAGTAGAACTGTCCTATGTGGTTCCCAAGGCTGTAAATCTTTGTGGAAGCAGACTGTCACATCTTTCTTCCACGGAGTGGCTGGTGGGTTTGAACCACTGACCTTTTGGTTAGCAGCCAAGTCTTAACCATTGTACCACCAAGGCTCTTCAACCCAGAGGCAACAAAGGTAATAATCAGAAGTTCATTGGCTATACTGACTCCTTACTTATACACTATATTATTATCCAACATTTTGCATTTATGACAATAGAAAGAAACTATTTGTGCATTAATGATGAACTTCTGGCAGTAAGGGACATTAAGGTGTGAAGTAAAAGTAATGCTGGCTGTGATGGTTAAGGTATATACCAAGTTGGCTGGACCACGATTCTCAGTGGTTTGGCAGTTATGTAATGATGCAGCCATCCTGTTTTGTGATCTGATGTGGTCATCCTCTATTTTTGTATAATCCCAATTTTTACCTAATGACCTGATCTTTGGAACTTAACCATGTCAATAAATGAGGAGTGGGTGTAGCTAGAATTTTCCCTTAGTTAACAGATACTTCTGGGAGATTTTTATTTTAAATCTTGAAATTTCCTTAAGAGAACCCAAAATGTATGCTTAAAACGGAAAGAGTGGGAACTTGAGAATTTAGTAGTGATCCCAAGCCACATGTTATGGATAGTGTGGTATATTAGAAAACTAGAGGTGACTGTCTTTCAATTGAAGGATTCAAGAAAAACATCACTTTCTCAGAGGGGCCTGCCCAGGCCACTGCAGCTAAAGCAGACTTCCCCACTGTCCCACTACCCTGTTGCTTGTTTTTCTGTGCAGCAGTGATTGACTCTCAATGTTCTCTGCGTGATCATCTGTCTTCTCTGAAATGTGAGTTCTATGAGGGCTGGACTGTCAGTCACTGCTCTGTCCCTAGTGTCCAACACATAACAGCTGCTCATGTACTTACTGTACAAAAGAACACACATTGACATTCACTGTCGACCTTCCACCAATACATACCACTAAGCATTTTTAAGGTCCACCTCATAGATATGTTGTGTAAGAACAGCCCATTTCATTACTTATTTTATGTGCCTGAGGGGAGCTTGATATATATTTAAACATTTAAACAAATGTTTTCTGAATTTAAATAGGCTTCTTTCTTTCTCTCATGTGTGTGTTGTGTGTGTGGGGCAGTTATGGCAGAAAAGAGCTGGGGCAGTCCCCATCGTCTGCTACTAGGGTAACACTAACATGCCTACCCCCTTTGGTGTCCTGATTGATACGTACCAGAGACCTGGGTGGCATCTATACTTCTTATCTTTGTCACCTAAACCATGTTTTAGAAAAGAGCAGGGTTACAGATGCCTGCACAGCTCAACTGAGCCACTGCTTCAGGAAATGCATCCATTTGAAGTAGCTGATAAATGCGGATTTGTTTCTGAGGTGTGCCCCTGGCATTTTTGTCAAGTATGTCAGAGTATGGTGGCAACTGTAAATGTAAATAGGCTAACAGTGTAAGATGGAAGAATCTACACAGGGTTTCCTCCCCACCACATCTATAAAGAATTCAATTGAAGGAAGCAAAACACGTAATTTGTCAAGTTTCCAGGACCGCAGGCAGTGCTGAGAAGTGCAGAACCACTTATGTCAGCACCTCCTTTCCTGCCTCTTCCTAAGGCCCTCCATGACCATAAGGCACAATTCATATTAACACTCACTGAAGTGGCTTTGCATCACCTGGCTGTGACAAGATTAAGTGGATGAGACAGAGTGACAGCGGTGGGGAATAATGAGGAGAAGCCTGTGTTGATGGTGTCTCACCCACCCCAAGAACAGACAGCCCTTGGAAGTCTGAAGCACTGATCAGCCCCGGTGGCACTGCCTCTGCACGTCCTTGGCAGACAGGAATGGACTGACTGAATGACACCATGCACTTGAAAGGGCAACCACTACACTGGCTTCTAAGAGGAAAAGGCCTTGCTAACTCCCCCAGAGTAAGGCTTGCACCCTCTGGAACCGGTGATCTCTCTGTGTGTGCACACATAACCCAAGGTGCTACTCCTACACAAAAACTTTGATGTTGTCACCAACAATGTCCTGATATCTATTTTACTTTAATTCCTATATGAAATTGTGACACAGTGCTGAATTTCAGACCCAGGTGAATAAGGAGGGAATAAAGAATAACAACAGAATTCCTCTTTCTAAACATCTCAACCTACATTTTCCTTAGGTCAGGTTTCACTGGTGTTGGTGACAACACTGTGTCCTTAGTAGTGACCCAAACACAGCACTGAGGATGTGGAGGCCATTTCTAGCAAGACACCACAACCTATGGCTGGGGTGGCCAATGAAGGACCACCAGCAAGGTTAAGACACTTTGGTTGCTTTCTTTTTAAAAACCTATCCCACAGTTTATCAATTTAAAGCACTATGGCAGCAGAGATGAGGAGAGCAGAGAAGGGGAGAGTTTCTCCAAGAATTCTAACAAGGATTCTGCTATTTGGTAAGGAATGGTTGTAACTAATATACCTGACATGGATGTTGAACTATATCTTGGGATCTGTGACACACTAGTTTAAAGACTTAAAACTAATAATGCCTATTGCCCTCTCTGGGCCCCTGTGAAGTTCAGGAACAAGAAGGGTTGGAGTCAGCAAAGAAGCAGGCAGCCCCTTAAACACTGGTTTGGAGGAAACCCTGTTTGACCTGACCCACACAGCAGACAGTTTCCCAGTCAGGCCTGTCTCCTGCTGGCCTATGATAACCCACGGCCTCCACGGTGTGCGACTCTTCCCATCTGACCAGTCTAGCAGGTGTGCTCCAAGTCACCTGCAACAGCATTCTCTAAACACTGTCTCTCCTTCCCTGCTCCCCCCACTCTGAACACTAAGTGAACCTGTGCTAATGGCTTATTCCTGACAGAAGGAGAATTTTGTTTCAAGAGACCTTAAGCTCAAGTTGTACATTCTTTTTTTTTTAAAATCAGTTTTTCTAACTTTAATAAAAAAATATAGGCCAGCCAAAGCTTCTAACTCTGGCTCAGTGGAAACACAGTGACAGGGCTTTACCCAGGCATTACAAGAGAAAGGTCATGCCACCCCCAAGGGATTGAGAAAGGGGCGGAGCTCGGTACTGGACTACAGGTGCCAGATGCACAATCAAGGAAAACCAAATCATTCCAGTCAAAGCGTTAGTTAATCTTTCCATTACATTCCAGTTAAAGCTTTAATTTTTCCATTATGATTTTGCTCTTTCCAAGGCTTTAATGTGAAATTAAATGTAAACTGATAATCTACTCAGGCAAGTAAGTTGTTTTTCATTCAAAATAATTTCTTTAAATTTACAAAATATTACTGGGACTCACACTCACTTTTCCCCTATGATTATTACGTGCATTCAGTGCCTTTAACAGGTCATAGGTGAACCACTTCCCTGTTGGGCCATGATGGTGGATGTCCCCACACCATCTATTTGGAGGAGCCATAACTATGAACACGCCAGTACAGGATCACTAATGGCATCTTTGGCTATCAAATAACATACTATATACTATTCTATCATAAATCAAATCATTAGGAGTGTGCAACGTTCTTCAATGTTTTCAGGAAACAATGAATAGTGGGGTTAGTTTGAAATGCGGCTTCCCCAGGACTAAACCCAATAAAGCCATTTTGATTATTGAAAATGTACAAAATGGGGCATGTGCAGGAAAACATTGTTCATATTCTTGAAGTAGACTTTTAAGACAGAAATAATAACATTTGGTTCAGTTTTACAAATTGCACATTGAGTGAAATCATACAATTATTCTAGGGAACCGTAAGCAAGCAATTCAGTCATAAGGATTTCTTTGTTTTGTTTTAAATGAAAAGGCTATATGAAATGCATGATTAAAAAGATAAGTACAGTTTCTGTCCCTGTAAAATTCCAGGTTTAGAATGCTGGCAGAAGGCAGTGCTGGCAGGGGACATGATGCACATGGAAATGCTATTCGATCTTGGCTTCCAGAATCAGCCCTAGTGTATTCTATGCACCAATGCACTGGCTAATAATGGTAATTTCGGTTTTACTATAAATTATTCTACATCTCACTTAAGTACTTAAGAATTAGCACTCGCTCCTTTCTAGAAGCTGTCTAAGGCAGCTGATGCATAACGCACCTCAACTGGACTTTCAACTAGTTCAGCAGTTCAATCTGTGCTCCTCAGGCCACAAGGATCGTCCACCTACAGCTCTCACGTACAACTTCCCCCTACTGGGAACTTTTCATGCTCATTTCCGCCTTACAAAAGGCAGCCCAGGCTAGGAGAGAAACACGATCGCCAAGGACTATTCTTGTAGCAATCTCAAATTCAAGGATTACAAGGGTGCAGGGGACACACAAGGATCCCACCTCATGGAAGATAAACAAGCTTCATTTAGGCTGCCAATTTTTCAGGGTCTGTGCCTCCTCTACCACTCAGAAAATAAGCTTTGTTTGCAATGTGACCTATTATTCTGTCAGTCAGAGTTTTCATTCACACTATGTTAACTTTCATCTCAATCATCTTAGCCTCCATGGAATTTGCTTATTGTGTTTCTCTAGTTTTCACTGAATACACAGTGCAAAGGCAAAGACTGAAGCAATCAGTTCACATACAAGAGCTCACACCAATAACACACATGAGCATCAAATAATAAAAAGTAGGTTTTCTCCTGTCTTTATTCTGGGGAGGAGGAGTCCTCCTCCTCATCATCCTCGTCTTCGTCGTTGAATGAACAGGGTGTCTCGCCTCGGGACTCCGAGCAGTGGGATGCCGCACTGCTGGACTGGTGACTGTTTGGGGCAAGGAACTGCCCAGTTGCTAAGGCCACTTCAGCATCCAAGCATAACCCTTGGTTTACACTAACAAACAATTAAAAACACACAGGCTCGTTAAAGTGGTACTTGTTTTTAGCTCTGTAAACCATAGGAATACAAACAGAAAGGAGGTGGCACTGACACTATCCGCCATGCCTCTGCTCAGGACCCAGGCCGGCAGGAAGGCGGCACCAGCTCGCCCCTTCAGACAGGGTCCGGGCCTTGTGGTTTGCCCTCTGACCTTGAAAAAATACATACCTTGATTGGGATAAGGTGGCACCAGTGGTCAGGTCTAAATTTGAAACTGATTGGGTAGAGTTCAAAAGTAGTCCCTGATTCAACCAAGAAGGTCCTGTGGAGATATCTAAAAGAAAAAAAGGAAAGAAAATGTAGGCTCTGTGAGTTCTGTAGGCACTCGGGTGGTACAGTGGCTATGGCTGCTAACCAAAAGGTTGGTGGTTCAAACCTCCCAGCTGTTCCACGGGAGAAAGATGAGGCAGTCTGTTTCCATAAAAATTCAGTCTTGGAAACCATATGGGGCAGTTCGACTGTCCTATAGGGTTGCCATGAATCAGATGGACTCAATGGCAATGGAGGTGGGTGGGGTGTTAAGTTCTGTAGGTGCTGGTGTTACAGTCTGAAGAAAGCACAGACAAATAGGATAAGCCTACTTCTTTTTTGTTTTTCCTTAATGGAAGCTATGCAAATCTCCTGGCCTAGGAAGAACCCAGGCTTTTCATCTTCTTGGAAAAAAGCTTCCAGACTATAAGCACAGGAAAAAAAAATGGTGGGAGGCAGAGATAGGAACAAAGAATTTAACTAAAAACAGTCACAGACTTTCTCTTATTCTTTCTTTTTCATTTTTATTCTTATTCTTTCTTCTTAAATAAGAGCTGTGGATAGCTCATTCAGTGATCATGGCACTATTCCTGGACATCTACTGTCCTCACCATAGAAGAATGTGGCTATAGCCAAAGCTATGGGTGGGTAAGAAAGTAAAATAAGAAACACCTTAGGTAAGAATGACAACCCTGATTCACTTTTGCCAAAACTCCCCCTTTTCAAGTATTCACAGGTGAACTTCCTGACAAGTTTTTTCTCCAATGTCCTTTGCTTTATAATTCAAACTAGCCCTTATTTTATGTTGTTGTTGTTGTTGTTATGTGCCGTCGAGTAGGCCCCGACTCACAGCGACCCCTCCTTGGGTTTCCGAGGCAGTATCATTACAGAAGTAGATTGCCCCATCTTCCTTCTGAGGAGTGGCTGGTGGGTATTTTATGTTATTAGGAAAAAAAAAAAAAAATTATTTATTGTTGTTGTTGAAAATATGCACAGCAAAACCCAGACGAACAATTTCTACATGTACAATTCAGTGACACTGGTTACATTCTTTAAGTCGTGCAACAACTCTCACCCTCCTTCTCTGAGCTGTTCCTCTCCCATTAAATAAACTCACTGTGACATGTCTCCTACCTAGTCGTTCAATTTGCTGTTCAATTTGATCCTACACAGATAGTTCTTTAAAAGAGTACAATACTCAGAAGTAGCCCTTATTTTAAAATGTCATAGGCAATCAGTATTTTTAAGGAAGGTGGCACAGACATTACTGAAAACTGTCATGTTTTAGTCTACATAAAATATTTTGGGTATATTCTTTTTTTTTTTTTAAGTTTTATTGTGATTTGGGTAAAAGTTTACAAAGCAAATTCACTTTCCATACAGCAGCTCACATATACTCTGTCTCATGACATTGACTACAATCTCCCACAATGGAACAGCTGCCTTCCCACCTCCTCCCCATAGTTACCTCTTTCCTGTGTCCTTCCCTCCATGCACTCCTGCCCCGAGCTGTCTCCCCATGCATCCATAGCCCATCTATTCTCCCATGATTGATCTCTTCAAGGAGTGTATCTACCTAATGGAAATGTTCAGCTCATATGCCTGTCTTTTGTTTGGCTGGAAGCCACAGGAGTGGGTTCAATTCCAGATCTGAAGGGTAGCTAGGGGCCACAGTCTTAGTGGTTCCATCAGGCTCTATCAGACCAGCAAACCTGTTCCTTTTTTTTTTTAAATGATTTTGAGTTTTGTTACACATTGTTCTCCCACTCTATCCAGGATCTCCTAGGTAGATCCCCCTCTGAGTGGTTGACAGTGGTAGTTGGGCACCATCTAGTTCTTCTGGTCTTATAGTCATATAGGCTGAGGACTGCATGGTGTACCAGTCGCTTGGACTAATTGTTTCCATGAATCTTAGATACATCGTTGTATCTATATGGCCACTTGCAAGCTTTTAAGATCTATTTTGGGTATATTCTTGCAATTGTATTTTCTACACATATCCCATATTTCTCCTATCACAACACTTGGTGTTATTACTTGCTCAGTATTTGTCTCCCCATCTAGAATACTAACTCTAGGAAGGCAGTGCCTGGAACATAGGATCTGGTTACTTAATGAGAGAGAATAGTCTCTTTAAGCAGTTTACAAAATAGGTAGTATATCCTCACATTAGAAATATATCCCTAAAAAGAAATGCTTTGACTTAAAGTGTAAGCTAAGACCTTACACTCAGAAAATGTAATTTACCAAAAGGAGAATTTCTTTTATTCAATCAAAATATTTTTATAATTATTGTACAAGAAATGGAGTAACGTGTAATGAGGTTAGAAACTATGCCATCCTACCCTGGCACTGTCTTGACCAAGTGAGAGCCTACTCCCACGTAGGAAAATAAACAAAATGACTATATTAATTTTACAATGGTCTTGTGAAGCTTTTTTTCACGGGCTAGCTAAGGCAGCTGTTTTTTAAAAAAGAATTTCAATTCTAAGACAAAGAATAGACTTGAAATATATTAAATAAGAACAAGTCTGTACAGAATGAAATTAAAGCCAGAATCCTGTGCTGGATATTAATTAGTATATAAAACTACGGAAACTTTCTGTCAGAATACAGCTATTTGTTTGTGAACACGTTATTTTTTCTTTTATAATGGTTTTGAAAAGACTACAGTTCAGTCACATTATTGCAGGATCCACACAATGGTTCTCACACTCCTGCCCTAGAGCCATTCTGTCCCTTCATACACTAAAGGCATACTTCTTCCTTTGAACTAATTGAGAAAGTCTGTACCCCAGTCAGCAAATGAGGTCACCAAGAGATCAAAACCACAGAGCCTGCTCCTATTTGCCCCGAGCCTTTTCAGTGAGAATAAGCTGGGAGAAAGTTCTGGTGATTTACGCGGGAGCCTTTACTCAGACCCTGCCAGCGAGACCTGCTCGGGAAGAAAGTGTGGACAGGAGGCAGGGGGCTGTGCCGAGGGGCAGGGATCTCACTGTAGGAGACAATGTCGCCAATTTCAAATCAAATGGAAACCAAGTCTCAATCAGAAACTCTTCTGTCCTAACCCAAAGAACTAAAGCCATAAAACAAAAGCTATCTTCTTGCTTTTATATTTGATTTACTGTACCTTGAATTAATATTAAAATGCCTTTAAAAAGTGATGTCAGAGTCTAAGTGGTAATATTTACAAAGGAAACAGGAGAAAGCAAATGCAAAAGCATTATTTATACATCTACATTAATAGAATAAATCATATTTTCACAAAATAGGATAATCATGATTTCTGAATTATTTTCTGAACATTTCTGAATTAGTGGAAAAAAAAAACCCCTCAATTATAGAACATGCAAAACACAGCTTTTCTACTGTAAAGCATACTTAGAAATACAAACTAAGCATGAAAATGTTACAAAGTAATGAGTCCCAATGGGTGTACCAAGCACTACTCTTAAATGCTGGGGATATAGCAGTGAATACAACAAAGTCCTTGGTGTCATGGAGCTGACATTCTGCTAGGAGAAGCAAGACAATGATAAAAGAAATATAATAATGTTAGCATAGAGATCTGGCTGTGGGACCATGTCACAGTACTATCTCTGAAAGAAGTGGTCCAGGCCCAGGCCCTGAGGTAGGGATGAGCTGACATTCAAGGGACAGGAAGATCAGGGTGGCTGGAGCACAAGGAGCAAGCAGGAGGGTGGCGGAGACCCACTGACCTGCTGGTTACTACACTATCAGAGCTCCTTAGGTGGAAGAACAAACCAAAAAAACCAAACTCACTGCCATCGAGTCAATTCGACTCACACCAACCCCTCCTTGGGTTTCTGAGGCAGTATCTCTACGGAAGTAGATTGCCCAACCTTCCTTCTGAGGAGTGGCTGGTGGGTTTGAACTGCCAATCTTCTGGTTAGCAGTCAAATGCCTTAGGTACTACACCAGCATTGCTCCCTGGTGGAATAATAGGGGTAATTAAGAATAACTACATGTAGCATATATTTTGAAGATACAGCCAAGAGTATTTGTTCACAAATGTAATATGGGGTGTGAAAGCAAGAGGAACAAAGGATGAAATTAAGCTTTTTATTTTGAGAGAAGGGCATGTTGCATTTGAGAGAAACTAATGCAGTATAGACACATTCAGACTTAAAGGCCTATTAGTCAAACACCCAAATGAAGACTATAAGTTGCTGCTGTTGTTAGGTGTCATTGAGTTGTCTCCAACTCACAGTGATCCTATATATAACAGAATGAAACACTGCCCATTCCTGCACCATCCTCAATCCTTGATATGCTTAAGCCTATCACTGCAGCCACTTTGTCCATCCACCTCATTGAAGGCCTTCCCTCTTTTTGCTGACTCTCTACTTTCTTTACCAAGCATGACATCCTTCTCCAGGGAAAGGTCCCTTCTGAAAACATGACCAAAGTAGGTGAGATGAAATCTGGCCATTCTCACTTCCAAAGAGCATTCCAGCTCCACTTCTTCCAGGACACATTTGTTTGTTCTTCTGGTAGTCCATGGTATTTTCAGTATTCTCCAATACTACACAACTGAAAGGTATCAACTCTTCTTTAATCTTCCTTATTCATTATTGTCCTTATTCCTTATTGTCCAGCTTTCACATGCATATGAAGTGACTGAAAATACCATGGCTTGGGTCAGGCGCAAGTCTTTCAAGTGACATCTTTACTCCTCAACACTTTAAGGAGGTCTTTTGAAATACGACGTCTGATTTCTTGGCTGCTCCTTCCATGGATGTCAACTGTGGATCACATCCAAGGAAAATGAAATCCCTGACAACTTCAATCTTCTCTCCATTTATCGTGATGCTGCTAATTGGTCCAGTTGTGAGGATTTTCATTTTCTTTATGTTGAAGTGTAATCCATACTACAGACTGTGGTCTTCGATCTTCATCAATAAGTACCTCAAATAATCTTCACTTCCAGCAAGCAAGGCTGTGTTATCTGCAAATCACAGGTTGTTAATGGGTCTGCCTCCAATCCTAATGCTACATTCTTCTTCATATAGTCCAGCTTCTCAGACTTTTTGCTTGGCAACAGATTGAGTACGTATGGTGAAAGGACACAACCCTGATGCACACCCTTCCTGATTTTACACCATCCAGAATCCCCTTGTTCTGTCTGAATGACAGCCTCTTGGTCTATGCATAGGTTCCTCATGAGCACAATTAGGTGTTCTGGAATTACCATTCTTCATAATATTATACAAAATTTGTTATGATTCACACAGCCAAATGCCTTTGCATAGTCAATAAAACACATGTAAACATCTGGTATGCTCTGCTTTCAGCCAAGATCCACCTGACATCAGCAATGGTATCTCTTGTTCCATGTCCCTATCTGAATCTGGCTTGAATTTCTGGAAGTTCTCTATTAATAATTTGCTGCAACTGTTTTTGAATTATCTTCAGCGTAATTGTACTTACATGTAGCATTAATGATATTGTTCCATAATTTCCATATTCTTTTGGATCACCTTTCTTTGGAATGGGCACAAATATGGATCTCTTCTAGTTGTGTGGCCAGGTAGGTGTCTTCCAAACTTCCTGGCATAAAAGAGCAAGGGGCTCCAGTGCTGCACCCATTTGTTGCAACATCTCAATGCTATTCCATCAATTCCTGGAGCCTTGTTTTTCATCATTTCCTTCCTAGGAAGTTGAATGTAAGAGTCTACAGTTCAGAGGAAAAGTTAGAACTAAAGATATAAATTTGGGAGTCACGGGCATTTGATGATATGTCAAGCCATGTAGCTATGTAGCTGAGATCACTTAATGACTAAGTATTAAAAAGAGAAGAGACCCAAGACTTGAATCCTGAGGTACACAAACATTTAGAGGTAGGGAAGATGAGGTAGATCCAGCAAAGGAAACAGATAAAGAGCAGCAAATAAGGTAGGAAGAGAACTAGAACACCAGAAACCAAATGAAGAAAGTTTCAAGAAGGAAGGAACAATCAGTTGTGTGAAATGCCCCTAAAAATTTGAGGACTAAAAATTAGCTCTAACATGGAAGGCACTAAGGTTCTTGATAAGAGCAGTGTCAGTGGAAATGGTGAGAATAAAAGCTGGAATGGACAGAGTTTATGAGAGAAGGTACAGGTATCTTACAGAAGAGTTAACTCAAATGGCCAATAAACATTAGATATGACACCTAAAGCATAAGCAACAACAGAAAAAAAAACCAAGTTGGATTTCAACAATAATATTTATTAAAACCACAATGAAAGGCTACTGGTATCTGACAATGATGCCAAGACAATTCAATGGGAAAGAACAGTCTTTTCAACAAACTGTACTGGGATGACTGGATAGCCACATACAAAAGAGCAAAATCAGATTCCTTTATCATACCATATAAAAAACTAACTCAAAATGGATCAAACACCTAAATGTAAAGGTTAAAAATTATAGAACTCGTAGAAGGAAACACAGGTATAAATCTTTGTGAACTTGGATTAGGCAATGGTTTCTTAGATATGACACCTAAAACATAAGCAATAACAGAAAAAAAAATTGATAAATTGGATTTCAACAATAAAGTTTTGTGCTTATAACACAACTAATGTAATTGATAACACTAAACTGTATACCTAAAAATGCTGAATTGACAAATGTGCTATATATATATTTTACAACCATTAATAATAATAATATTATTATTTACCACAATTAATAATACTTAATTGTGGTAAATAATAATAAATAACCTTTTGTATTTCAAAGGTTATTATCAAGAAAGTGAAAAGGCAACCCACTGAATGGGAGAGAATATTTGCAATCTACTAAGGGTCTGTATGCAGAGTATATAAAGAAAACTTAAAACTCAACCATAAAAAGACAAATACCAAATATAAAAAATGTGCTGAGGACCTGAATAGACATTTCTCTAAAGAACATGTTCAGTCACTAAGCACATGAAAAGATGTTCAACATCATCAGAGGAATGTAAATCAAAACCACAATAAGACAGTCACACCCAACAGGGCAGCTATCACAAAAAAAGACAGTCAGTAACAAGTGCTGGGGAGGATGTGGAAAATTTAGAACCCTTATACATTGCTGGTGGGATTGCAAAGCAGTGTAGTCACTCTGGGAAACATTTGTTCCTAAAAATATTAAACAGAGTTAACATTATGACAGAAATTGCACTCATAGATATATATTTGCAAGAGAAATAACACATACGTTCACACAAAAACTTGTATGAGAATAGTGGCATCATTTATAATGGTCAAAACATGGCAATAACCCGAATGTCATGAGCTGATGAGTGGACAATCAAAAGGTAGTGCACCCATACAATGGAGTATTATTCAGCCATACAGAGAAATGAAGTACTGATGCATGCTACAACACAGATAAACCTTGAAAACATTATGCTGAGTGAAAGAAGACAGATACAGAAGGGCACATATAGGTTTCATTTATATGAAATGGAATAGGCAAATCCACAGAAACAGAAAATAGATTAGTATTTATCAGGTACTTGGAACAATGGGGGAAAAGAGACTGACTGTTAGTGGGTACAGGAAGCTCTGGTGGCACAGTAGTTAAAGCATTCAGCTGCTAACGAAAAGGTTGGTGGTTTGAATCCACCAGCCTCTCTGTGGGAGAAAGATGAGGCAGTCTGCTCCTGTAAAGATTACAGCTTTAGAAACCCTATAGGGCAGTCTACTCTGTCCTCTAGGGTCACTATGAATTAGAATTGACTTGATGTTAGTGGGTTTGTTGGGTTTTCTTGTTCTACTAATGGGTACAGAGTTTCTCTCTGGGGTGATAAAATGTTCTGGAACTAGACAGTTGTAATGGTTGCACCAGAGTCCCAGGTGGGACTAACAGGTAAGTGCTCAGAAACTAGCTAAAAGTGAGGTGGTCTGAGTCCGCCCAGAAGGGTTCCAGAAGAAAGGGCTGGCAATCTACTTTGCAAAGATCGCAGCCACTGCAAACCCTGCAGAGCGCAGTTCTGCTCTGACACACGGAGCTGTCATCTGTCAGAAAGGACGCAAGGCAGCTGGCTTGGTTTCTTGTGTTTTCATGGTTACACAACCTTGTGAATGTATAAAGAAACCACTGAATTGTACATTTTAAAAGGGTGAATTTCATGGTGTGTGAATTATATCTCAATTTAAAAAAAAATGACAATACCATTTCACACCCACTTGAATAGAAAGTAAAGCACTTCTACTCTGCATGTGAGAGCGTAAAATCTATCGACTTCATCATCTAGTAAAGGTGAAGCTGTGCCTCTCTCTGACTCAGTCTATGTACTTGCACAGGGGGCCTGGGGTGTGTGCTTAGTGACGCTCAGAGCAGCACTGTTTGTAATATTGAGAACCTGGAAGGCTAATCATCAGTAAAAGGAATAAATAAGTTTTGATATATTCACGTAATGGAATCCTACACAGCAGTGAAAATGAATCAATTATGGCTACATTACATCACATACCAAAAAAACCAAACTCACTGCCATTGAGAATACAAAGCTGAGTGAAGAAAACAAAGCACTGAAGAATTTATCACTACAGTATCATTTACATAAAGGTCGGAAGTAGGCAAAACTAAATAATATATCGTTTCTAGTTTACTATATTTGTTTGTATCTTCTCCAAAGAAGCAAAAAGACCCAGCAAACCCAGTTGAGTTGATTCAGATACACAGTGATCCCACAGGACAGAGCAGAACCGCCCCATAGGGTTTCCAAGAACGTACACGTAGCCAGGGCCAGAATGTGCAGCATCCGTTACCTGTGATGTAACCTTCCAGAGCCTTTGGCACCAGGGATTTAGCAAGTTTCAGATCCTCCAGGGAGCATGTGCCGGACTCCAGGCCAAAGGACATTCCCATGCGCTTCAGTACTTCTATGTCATCATGGATCTCGAAGGTGTTGTCAAAGTTAAAAAGATATTCAAACCTGTTGCAGGAAACAAAGTTAGAATGGAGTTTTAGGTGATATGGGGGTCTGAATCATTTTGTACTTTGATTTGTTAAATAAGAGAATGAAGGCCTAAGTTCAGCTGCAGTACTACTGCAGTACTGTTACCCTTCAGAGGACTAAGAACCATTCTGCTGTGTTCAGGGGAAAGACATCCCCAATGAACCTGTCCCCCAATTAAAACAACTTTCCTGTGACAGACAATAGGAGACAATAGGAGACATAAACTTTAGCCCTCTTTAAGCTGTTGCAAACAGAAGGCTACCATTGTGTTTAACACAGGCCTTTCATTGTTTCATATTCAATACTTTTCACAGTTGTCTACAGCTGTGTCACAAAAGATAAAATATTAAGACTTTCTGATCTGATAGAGATTGGTGAAACTCCTGTGACTATGGCCTCTAGTCACCCTTCAGGCCTGGAATTGAACTCACTCCCATGGCTTCCAGCCAAACAACACATAGGCGTGTAAGGTGAATATTTACACCAGGTAAGTACACTCCTTAGAACAATCGACCACGGGAGATCAGAAAGACAATATTTACACAGGGAGATAGCTCAGAGGGCAGGAATGCATAGGAAAGAAGGACACAGGGAACAGGTAACCAGAGGGAGGAAGTGTGAAGAGAGCTGTTACATTATGGGGATTGCAATCAATGTCATGACACAAAACGTGTATAAACTGTTATATGGAAAGTGAATTTGCACTACAAACTTCCACCCAAATCACAATAAAAAAAATAAAGACTTTCCCCTTTCCTTTCCAGTTTAATATATGGTATTATATATATTATACTCTGAGTTGACCTATTAGCTTTAATGTTTTGGATGTGTATCCATTTTCATGAGTCAAATGTCAGCTCCAGCACATCTTCAATAAACAGTAAATGGAAGACTTTTCCTTGGAGGTGTACATACCCTCACAAATCGGTCAATCTTCAAATCCTGTCTTCAGACCAAAGTACCAAATCTGGAGGCACAGCTGCCCGGCTTTTAATAAAGAGGCAGGCACAGGACACACAGATTCTGACTCTTAGACTCACTCCGGGGTATGCCCACCACAGGCCTCAGCACTGTATGGACAGAGTTCAAGTGTGTGTTCTGAGACAATGTTGCTATGAAATTCACTGTATTAAAATTACACGTGGGTAAAACTTTTTATGATAGATTTTGTTGTTGCTGCTGCTGTGTGCCGTCGAGTTGATGTGACACATAGCGACCTTACAGGATAGAGTAGTATTGTCCCACAGAGTTTCCTAGGCTGTAATCTTTACGGAGGCAGACTGCTTTCAGTTAGCAGCTGAGTGCTTAACTACTGCACACTAACTTTAGATTAGATTTCAGATCAGAGCGAAAATTACGATTTAAAGCAAAATGCCACACTTACATAATTTGAAGTAAGTAAATTCAAATCAAGTTCTCAGAAGCAAACAAAACATTTGAAGTAAACACTTGGCACAGGGATGATTTCAGGTGTATGTGAAAAGCAGATGGGTCTGTAAGTTCAATCCTTACTGTGGGGAAGCTTCCTGGCTAAACGAGGGGAAAAGGATGCATCACCAACATGACTGAAAGTCAAGGCAACAGGATCTACCTTGACTGCCCTACCTTGAGTGACAAGCTTCCACAAGTTGCTCAAAGACTCCTTTCCTCCACTTGCGGGAGGTTCAGGAATGGGCATGAGTCAGTAACCACCCAGGGGGCAGAAACTTTACCGGATCTCAGCCTGGGTGAATAGAATCCATAAATCCCTTAGCCCAATGGTTCTCAGATTTTAATGCCACCCCTTCTAAATTTAAAATAAAAGACTAACCTCAGGAAAGAATTTAAGAATTCCCCACAGAACAAGAGACTGACTAGAGAGAGTAATTAGAAATCTAACAGGCTTGTTGTTTTATCTTTTTCCCCTGAAAATATTCTAATTATTCTCTAGAATTCTCAGGTTTTTTTTTTTTTTTTCCCTGAGACTGTGGTAACATCATCTTAGACAGAGGTGGTTGTGAAGAATTTGCAAGTGTGTAAATAATGCTGACCATTGGGCTGTATTTATGAACTTACCTATAACCTTCATAAACCTGCCAGGTCAGTCACATAATTCTTATTTTTATGGAGGAAGGCATGTGATACCATAGACGTTAAGGAACTCTACAGCTAGAGGAAAGAATGAAAAACAGAATTGCTGACTTCAAAGCCGGCATAGTCTCTTACTTCTCTTGTCTGTAGTCTATCTCCATTATCAAATCATTTTGAGATTCTTGCTTTCTGTTTTCCTTTGTATGTGTGTGTACACATGTGCCTTCTTATTTAACTGACCCAGACTTTCTGGAGGTAATAGAGACAGACAGGAGAAACATAGTGCCAGAGAAAAGAGTGGGAAAAATAAGGGACGGTACAATGCACAGGCAACTCTATGGCTGTAAGAAGACTAGAAGTTCTGGTCTCCCTAGGACAGCCCTGGAGTGTGCCTGTTGTCCTAAAGTAAAAGTACCCTAATTTGGATGATAAATTATATGCTGACCCCTGTAGCAACAGCTAACATTCATAAAGCATTTGCCTTGAGTCCGACCCTTTATAGGCATTATCTCATTTAACCCCCCAACTGTTTTCATGAAGAGTAAAATAAATTACAAAGTAATAGTAGTAATACTACTATTTTGAAAAGTAGTATTTCTCACTTGTAATGATAAAAATTGCCATCAGTCTTAGTTAACAGAAAACGTGCTCAACATTTTCACGTCTCCTCATTCATTATTAACAGAAGCACACACAATGAAGATACAGCACAACAAAGAGCTTACGGATGGTCTAAACTTACTGCAGTTACTTGCCCAGGTTACCACATAGACACGTGGCTGAGGCCCAGGCACCACTATGCATACAACAGCAGCAGCACAGAGTCTTGTTTGAGAAGGTATTTCAAAGGCCCAAGGATGCCAGCCTTGGAAGACTGCAGGTAATGGAGTGTACCCTTCTTTATTTTGTAAGTGATGGGAATATGTTAACAGAAGGCCAGACTTGCACCCTCCCCCTAATTTTCCACTCACTTGTCACTGGAGATGCTGCAGTCTATGACAGTTTTTCTGCTTGTGTTGATGATTATAAATGGCAGCTGGATGGTGGAGTTCAGAGCTGGGGGTCCCTGGTTCTGCTGTTCATTTTGCCGATTCCGCTGTACCAGGTTTTTGAAAGCAATTTGCTGTAATGATCAGTAGGAAGAATATGGCTATTTATTTTGGATAAATGAGTTGGAATTTAAATCAGTTAAGAATGAAACATTTAAAATCACAGGGTTTAAAGACGCATCAGACCTACATGGATGAATTAATTTAAATAATGAAGTATTTAAGAAAAAATTAAAATGATACAACTCAAATACATTTCAAAGAAAAAAATGTATACATTTAAATGGTATGTAGCATTATCCTAACGTAAACAATGGGGCCCATGGTTTCCCTTACCCATAGAAACAGGATCTTGAAACTTGGGAGAGAGCCCAGTGAGTGGCACCTGAGGCCTTCCTCAGTAAGAAAATACAGCAAAAAAGACACCAAGTGAGCTGATGTTTAACATTTATCTAACAGCCTCTTGAGAACTTAGAATCAAATGCACCTTTTTGATTGTCTAACCCTGAAGCCTGCACACTTTTTAAAGCCACAAGACCTTTTCTTATAGGAAACCCACTCCATAACACAGAGGGAAGGAGCACTGCTCTGGTGGGCTGCAGTGGGTGGGCATGCTGAGCCTGGTCAGCTGTGCCCTCATTCATTGCCACCGTGGTTTCTGAGGCAGCTCTGCAGAAATCCTCAGCATCCTCAAGCCAACGTCCTAGGACAGTTTAGGGGTTGGAGAGTGTCACCTGAAAATTCATATCCTTCCCAGAACCTCAGAATGTGACCTTATTTAGAAATGGACTCATGACATACTGTAGTTGTGGGATCCTGATCCAGTATGATTGGTGTCCTTATAAGAAGAGAAGAGACACAAAGACACAGAATGCAGATGGCCATGTAAAGCCAGAGACAGAGACTGCAGGGATGCTGCCATAAACTAACAATGCCTGGGGCTTCCAGAAGCTGGAAGAGGCAAGGAAGGGTTCTCCCCTAGGGGCTTTAGAGAGAGTGGGGCCCTGGCAATAGGCCTGATTTCTGACTTCTGGCCTCCAAAACTGTGACAGAAAGAATTTCTGTTGTTTTACGCCATTGGCTTGTGGTACTTTGTTATGGTAGACTGTAAGAAACTAAACCACAGCCCAACTGTGTCCTACCCAACATCTTCCAGATGAGAAAACTGAGCCTTAGCACTGATAGATCAAGGCCTAAATCTTCGTCCTCAATCTTGCTGCTACTTTTAGTTATAACCATTACTCAAACCTCAAAAAAGGTAACCCTCCTTTTTTTAAAAAAAATTTTTAATAAGGCAAATGTACCACAGAATCCCTTAGCTAGAAAGATCTTGTACTTAAACAGTTCAAGCTCTTCATCTGCTAAGGAAACAGATTCTGGTTTTAAAAATCTCCTGAAGTCTGAGCCATTCTTCTGGGCCTTAAGAAAAACTGGATTATGATTACCATTATCTTAAAGTAGTTGGGTGCAATTTCCCCAGAGAATAAACATTTACTCTTTTAAAATGCACAGAGCAGAAGGAATACCAATGTCCCCCAGCCCTAAGATTGTGCCCACATATCACTTTCTTCTTCTAAGTTATAAAACTAACTCACTGCTGTCAAGTCGGATCTGACTCATAACGACCCCTCCCCTTGGGTTTCTGAGGCTGTATCTCTATGGGTTTGAGCCTTCAGCCTTCTTGTTAGCAGTCAAATGCCTTAGGCACTATGCCACCAGAGCTCCTCTTCTAAGTTATAATCCTTTCTTATTTTCTACAGCCAAAACACTAAGGCTATTTATATTCATGATCAATTCCTTTAATACTGAGGGAAAAAATATGATAGAATTGTAGAACTGAGAAAAAGAAAGAAATGTTTGAATAATTCTGCCCAGTTTGTCTTCCTTTCTACTAAAATAAACCTCTCGGGAGCTGCTTCCATACTCTGTGGCTAGTGCCCAGGGAGACCTCAATACATAGGGGACATTACAGTCCTTATATATAGTCCTCATGTATTTACAAGTCACTGGTCAATATTATTGTACACTTAATAGCATCAAAGTTTTTTCAGGTGAAGACAGCACTAAAGATGTATGTTATTTTCATAGTAAAAAGAAAAATCACCTCCCACTTATTTTGGACTGATGTCCTTATTTGTTGACCTTTGATTGGCTTCCTGCAGCCTTTTGTTCTTTTAACATCTATTCCAAAAATAGAACAACAGTTTCAGGTGTGTTTAGACACTCACTACTATGTATCAGGAGTTCTGGAGAACTGGTGGCACAATGACTAAGTACTCAGCTGCCAGCTGGAAGTTGGCAGTTCAAACCAAAAGCTGCTCCTCGGGAGAAAAGACCTGGCAATCTGCTCTCATAAAGATTACAACCCGGGAAACCCTAGAAACCCTATGGGGCAGTTATAGGGTTGCTATGAGTCAGAATAAGGAGCCTGGTGGCATAGTACCTAAGGCATTTGGCTGCTAACCGGAAGGCTGGCAGTCAAACCCACCAACCACTCTCTCTGCAGAAGGATGACTGAGCAATCTACTTCCGTAAAGATTTACTACCTTGGAAACCCAAAGGGGGTCACTATGAGTTGGAATCGACTCGATGGCAGTGTTTGTTTTTTGGTTTGGTGTGAGTCAGAATCATTTTGATGGCACACAACAGCAACAACAACAGGAATGAATAAGCTGTATGCCTACCGGAAGACGAGAAGTTTTTTCAATTATAATTTGAGTTTCATTTTAATATCTATATGTTGACAGATAGGTTTCCTCTGGGTTGAAATCTTTTATAAGTATTTGGTTTGAGGGACAGCAAAGGAAAAGAAATTCACAACTTCAGAAACAAACACAATGTTCATTGTACAGAATGAGGAATACAGATAAGCAGAGAAAAATGTTCAACTTCATTCTTTGTGCTAAGCATCTAGAGACACGAAAGCCCCACATCTACAGGGTCATCATCTCCAGCACTATCCTTCCTGATAAACAGACACACTAATGGGCTGATTTTCTAAATGACATTTTAATATTTTTAAAATGACAAAAATCAATATTCTATGAAGGTGTTGAGAAAATTCCAGGAGTGGAGATAACTGTGCAGGGACAGGGGCAACAGAAGCAGCTGAGGGAAAGTGGCAGCGGAAGAGTCAGAGCAAGAACCTGGCAGGGCAGGTCTTTCTGAAGACAAACTCCACCCGGGGGGCACAGGAATAACCCATCAGCATTCAACTTTTTTGGTAAGCTACAGACTACTCTCTTCAAACAAAATCTTATTTGGAAATCCAATATGGAAAATACATAAAATGCCTCATGTAGGTGCCATAGTGCTCAGTGTGAAAGTCAGACACAGGACACAGGAAGAAAGAACTGGCTTAATTGGCATCAAACATCATTTCTGGGCTTCCTGTGTTTGGACCGTCACTGCTTTATCTGCTCCTACTCCTTTGCCCCTGTTTCCTTTCTTGCTTTTTACTCTCCAATCATCTATGGTTCTTTGTAAGGGCTTCACTGTCTTTTCTCACCTCTCTGATTTACACATGAAAGTGAAAAAAAAAAAAAAAAAAAAAGATACAAATATAAGCAAACAGAAAGTGAAAAACAAACATATCTGGAATATTTATGAATACTCAACATATTTTGTTCATCAGACAAAGTGACTACTGAAGGGGAAAACTGGTAAAAGATTTGTCAATTTATTACTACTTTTTCTTTAAATTGTGTTGCAACATGGGTATAGGGACGGATAGATGGGTGAACAAGCTAAACAATTATGTATGTCTAAATGGAGAGTGTATCCAAGATCATATACAGGGTTGGCAGACAATGGGCCTCTCGAAGAGTATGAAGGGATGGACACTGGGAGGAGGTAACTATGGGGAGGAAGTGGGAGGGGAGCTGCTGCATTGTAAATTTTGGTCAATGACATGAGACAAAGTATATGTGAACTGCTGTATGAAAAGTGAATTTACTCTGTAAATCTTCACCCACAAATCCTAAAAAAAAAAAAAAAAAATTGTGTTGCAGGTGAAAGTTTACACAGCTAATTAGGTTCTCCTCTAACAATTTTTATGCAGATAGTTCCATGCCATTAGTTATAGTTTTCACAATTTGTCTGCATTCTCATTACTTCCACTCAGTTTGTCCTGCTTCCATTGATCTAGCTTCCCTTCCCTTCCTCACCTTCTCACCTTTGATGCTGGGTAAACATTGGCCATTTGGTCTCATGTAATTCATTGTTTAAGGGAGCACATTACTCATGAGTGCTACTATTTGTTTCTTTTATAAGCCAATCTATTATGTGGCTGAAAGGTGACCTACAGAAATAGCTTCAATTCTACTTTAAAAAGTTATCTTAGGGTGATAGTCTCAGGGGTTCTTCTAATCTCTAGTAGTCTAAAAGGTCTGACCTATTTTAGGAATCTGAGTTTGGTTCTGCTTTTCTTCCATTCTGTTTGGGACCTTCTATGGTGTCCCTGGACAGAATGGTCAGTAGTGGTGGCTGGGTACCATCTGGTTATCCAGGTCAGAAGCAGCTGTGGTCTGCATGGGCTGTTAGTACTATGGGTTAGTTTCTTCCTTGAGCCTTTGATTTCCTTCATTCTTTTGTGCTCCATATGAGCACAGATCAATAGAACCCTAGATGGCTGGTCACAAGCTTCTAAGAGCCCAGATGCTTCACACCAAACTAGGATGTACAACATTACCTTTGTGAACCATGTTATGCCAATTGACTAAGTTGTTCCCAAAGACCATGGTCCCATGCTTTTTAACCCTATAAACCAATCCTGCAAGTTGTTTACATATGTCTAGGAATACTATCTGTATTTCTGAAGAGTTGGATCACACCAAAAATTAAATAGGACCTAGATTTGTTCAAACCAAACTGGATTTTATAGTTATAAAATGTTTTTTACATAAAGACATTTTGCTGAGAAAATCAAAAGCATAAAGGTTCTGGCTCATTTTACAAAGTTTATCTGATTGAACTGAAAATGGCCCAATTGTACTGCTCAGAGTGAATCTTTTTACCAACTACAATTACCAAAAATAGAAATAGTCCAACTACCCTGTGATCTCACCTCACATGATTTTATACAAGAGCCCTATTATATATTTTTAAAAAATCATCCAAAGTCTAGGCAGTTCTCCAAAAAGTATAAATATAGAAATCTTCATTAAACTAAAAATTTATTTTTCTTAAATGGACTTTAAGTTTTGGTATTTCTACAATGATTATCGAATAATGTCATGTCATTCTGTCATTAACAGATACTTTTCAAGGGAAATAGGTATTACAGGTGGATTTGATTACTCAAAGCACCTAAATTTTAAATGGCTTTACTACATCATGAGGGAGCTCTGGTAGCATAGTGGCTAAGACACTTGCCTGCTAACCAGACGGCTGGCAGTTCAAACCCACCAGCCACTCCTCGGAAGGAAGGTTGGGCAATCCTACTTCCACAGTGATACTGCCTCGGAAACCCAAGGAGGGGTCGCTATGAGTCGGGTTTGACTTGACGGCACATAACAACAACAACAACAACAACATCATGATATTCCAAATCAGGACTGAAATAAGCAAAAAGATTCTTGACAGTTTATGGTCAGAATAAGAATCGAGTGAGTCACAAGTAGCCTGTTGTATAATATAAGTCACACACAGGGCAAGTGTACTGTGTGGCAGGACCAAGATGAGGGCGAGACGGAACCATTTAAAGGCAGAGTGTGTGGAGGGCAATGTGCTCAGCGGCAGGGGAGCATACCCTGGCGTAGCCCACTAGATACTACTCAGAGGTACCACAGGTAGAAAAGCACGCTGACTCTACAGGCAAATAAGTGACGGAACAGAGTATAGGCAGGGAAGGTGATGAAAAACATCCCAGCATCTTTACCTGCAGGAGAAGTTCTTGTAGTTGAGCCCGCTTCTGCTTTATCCGTTCTATCCGCTTCTGCTTCTCTATCTTTAAAACACAGGTTACAAAATAACAGCATAACTAGAGTGTAAATAAAGTACAGCTCGCTGTTCAGGTCCCTATTCTGAGGCAGCAAGATTTTTCTTTGGATAAACTTAACCCATTTAAAAAATCAACAGAAAAAAAAGTGAGGTAAGCACTACTGTTATCCATTTTGCATGTAGAGAAATGAACATTTAACAGATTCATATAGCTAGTGAGTAGCAATGCCAGGATTTGAAACTAAGCCATCTGGTTTCAGAGACCCTGTTATTAATTACTTTGCTAAATTATTCCTCCAAGAATGAGGCAACATCTCATTTAAGGGGTAGGGGCTAACTAACTCTTAAATGAGCAGAGCTCCTAACCCAGGTGTCTTACATATTCAATACACAACTTTTACTTGTAGTAGGAAACATGCTGTGGGACACATTTCCTAGCTTCAAACAATGCTATTTCCTCAATTTTTCCTAGAAAATAGACATTATGGTCTGAATATCTTTGCAGACATATTCATTATCTCTCTGGGCTGAAGGTCAATGACATCAGAAAAGACTTTTTGCTTATTTACTCCAACAGATGATTTTTTCCTTGCTTCCATGTAGTCTCATCTGCACTAGGAGCTTCTTCTCATTGCTCCTCTAACCACTACTACACTTTAGTCCTAAATTACTTAAGGTTCACTGTTAAATCTGTGTGGTCTTCTAAATTTGCAAAGATACTGTGGGAATTTCCCCCTGCATCTGAAGCTCTGAAAGGCCCAAAAGGTACTACCAGAAGCCAAGTAACTTTTCCTTGGCCCCTACCTGCACTTTATCCCCCACATCCAACCAGGCCTATTCTACCTCTGAAACACCTTTCCAACTTCACTAACACCACCTAATCCCAGACCACCATTGGGTCTCACTGGACTGCATCTAAAGGGTCTTTCTATCTCTTCCCTAGACCACTTTTCTCCTCAGCTTCCTGTTAGTTCAACTTCCAACCCACTAGCAAAGTGATTCTTTAAAACACATCCTATCCCTCCCACTTCCCTGCTTTGTAACTCATCAATAAGCCATTAAAAAACTCCAACCCACTGCTATTGTGTTGATTCTGACTCAAAGTGACTCTGCAGGACAGGGTAGAACTGCCCCAAAGGGTTTCCAAGGCTGGAAATTTTTACAGAAGCAGACTGCCTCATCTTTCTCCTACAATGGGTTCAAAGTGCCAACCTTTTGGTTAGCAGCCCAAGGCTTTCACCACTTCACCACCGGAGTTCCCTCAATTCATCAACAGTTTCTCATTATTTACAGGGAAAGGTCCTCACCGCCAAGCATCTGAAATCTATCCCCTTTCTCCATGCAGGTACTCTGGCCACACAGAGCTGCAGACATGCTCTCTCATGCCTCTGCCTGGAAGGCCCTCCCAGCCGTTAACCACTTGGCAAATTCCTACTCCTCCCTCATGTCTGAGCTTAGGGATTATTTTCTTGTAAAATTCCTCCCTTTTTCAGACAATCTGTACATACTTCTCTCATAGAAGTGATCACATTTTTTTTTTTTTTTTGTAACTTCTTTTATATACTCCTCCATCCAGCTACAATGACAGTTCCTTGGGGTCAGAAATTTTCGTCTGGTATATTCCTTGGCCTGGAGCTCTGGTGCCATAGTGCCTAAGGCATTTGACTGCTAACCAGAAGGTTAGTGGTTCAAACTTACCAGCCACTCCATGGAAGGAACACTGGGCAATCTATTTCCTACAGATTTACTGCCTCGGAAACCCAAAGGGGGTTGCTGTGAGTCGAACTGACTCAATGGCAGTGGGTTTGGTTTTTTTTTTAACTTTTAAAATATTCTTTGGCAAAACACATGATAGAAACTAACACATTTTTGCTTAATTAGACTTCAGTATTAAAGACAATATAACTGGTAAAGTGATCTTCAAATTCCCATGAGAAGAAAGAAAAATGAGAAAAGGAGGATATTCCACTCTAGCAAATGGATAACATTATTCTGTAACTTTTGATTAATATCTGGGTTCTTCCCCGTCTACAAGCATAATACCAAATAAGTTTTGATTTGCTGGGAAAAAGAGACTGAGAAAAACATCAAATCAACCTTACTTATCTTCAAAAACACAGTTTACTCCATTCGTGGTCATGACAAGAAAATTGTCTCAAATCAATTTAGAAATGGTATGTCAGGGTATATACTTATTTAGGGAAGATTCTTCTTTAATGCTTAAAGTTAACAGAATAAAAATCATTTTTGCACATATCATCCCAAAATTCATGTAAGTTGATTGTGATACCTATCCACTGCCATCAAATTGATTCTAATTCATGGTGACCCTATAGGACAAAATAGAACTGCCCCATAGGGTTTCCAAGGCTATGAATCTTTACAGAAGTAGACTGCTTCATCTTCTTCCCATGGAGCAGCTAGTGGTTTTAACCACTGACCTTCTGGTTAGCACCCAAATGTCTTACCCACTATGTCACCAGAGTTCCTTTCCACTGTGATAACCAAAAACCAAACTCACTGCTGTTGACTCGAATCTGACTCATAGTGATCCCTCCTTAGGTTTGGTTTCCAAAGCGTTATCTCTACAGAAGTAGATTGCCTACTCTTCCTTCTGAGGAGTGGTTGGTGGGTTTGAACCTCCAGCCTTCTGGTTAGCAGTCAAATGCCTAAGACACTATGCCAAAATAAAATGCCTTTCAACTGCCAGTGATTCTAGAGTCAAAGATTTGACTTTCACAGTATTAGAAAATTGTATAAGCAAGGCACAAAAAATAAACAGCAAACTTGATCCATTATTTTTTTGATCCATACAGTAAGCATTTCTTCGGTATCATTTATGATACACGATTTACCAAAAAAATTGAGAATGCTCAGAATCAAGTTAGAATAACAAAGATCTTCTTTGAAAACCAGAGAAGACCAAATCTAAATGATACTCATTCATTACAGACTTCTAAGGAAATGTTTTTGAAGATGAGAGAAAAAGCAGAAAAATCTCTATTCCACCCAAAGCTTTAAAAGAAATTCTTTCTCATACTTCTGAATTGACACTAAAATTGCCTTTCCACCACAAATGTAGATCAAATTATCACAGGACAGATGATCTGACTGAACTTCAAGATGTTTCACCTCTCTGAAGAATTACACAAGCATCTGTACTATAAACTGCAATTATTTTTATTTGTTAAGGTCTTCTCAAGAAATATGAGTCTTAAAAACATTATTTTCTAATTAAAAATAAGAATTTATTATAACAAATTCCAAAATGTCTTTAATTAGGAAGAGTATTTAATGAAAAGGTGAATAAAAATATTCTTAGTAATTTTCATTCACCTTTCATGAACGGCTCTTTATTTTCCTCATTTGTTTTACAAGAAAAAAGTCATTTTTTAAAACTCAGAAATTGAGGGCCCATATATGCATAGTTTGGTATGGTATAATACAATAATATAATATTGCTATAGTATATAATGGGAGCTCTGATGGAATAGTGCCTAAGGCATTTGACTGCTAACCAGAAGGCTGGCGGTTCAAACCCACCAGCCACCCCTCAGAAGGAAGATTGGGCAAGGAGATAGTGATACCATCTTGGAAACCCAACGAGGCGTCACTATGAGTCGGATCTGACTCCATGGCAGTGAGTTTGGTTTATAGTATATAATACTCAGAATAAAGAGGTCTGGGTTTTATCCCAGATTTTCTACTATCTGACCTAAGACATAACCTTGGACAAGTCATTTCACTTCTACTTCCCTCCATTTAATCATTTAGAAAATAAACTGCTCAGACTATATAGCTGTAGCTCCTTCCAGTTCTAAAAGTCTCTATAGTTTGTTTAAAAAAATGACATAGTACACACAAAGAATTATTAGTATCATGTGGCTATATTTCTAAATTAAAATGCCTCTGGTGAAAAGTCACGGCTATCTATAAACAGACCACTCACTTACCTCCAGGTTTTGACATTCCTGAGCAGAATTGGTAGGCAGGCCAATCCACTTGATTTCTTTTTTTTCCTTTGAAATTATGTTCATTGCCATTAGCACATTTAAAGCATCATAAACTCTTCGCCTAATATTCTTCTGATCATAAGCCTGCTAAAAATTGTTTTTTATTGAGTGTTAAATTTTAAGGGTTAAGAAATTTGAATCAAAGCAGAATTTTCTTCTAAGTTTGTCAAATAGGCAAGATGATAACATAAGAGAAGAAACATGTTCAAATTACAGAAAACTATTAAATGGCAGCACTTTATGTAAATCATTACACTACAGCTTTGAAAATTAGAAACCAAATACAGTGCCTGAAAATGAATGAATCTAGTGAAAAAAAGAAACAACTGAAATATTTAACAGTAGGAAAAAGAGCAGGCAGCTTATGATATATTACTCAACCAAATTTCATATGGCCATTACAAATGTTTATGAATAGTAACATGAACATTTTTATGATAAAATTTTAAATAAAGTAGGAGATAAATGTATTAACAACATGATTTCAAGTACATTAAAATTCACTGGAAGGAAAAATAGCAATAATTTTTTTTCCTTAAGTGTTTATTATACTTTTACAATAAAAAAAGAATTTCTCACCCAAGTTCTTCAAATTACTATAATAAACTTGGGAGGAAAAATGGAATTAGAAGGTGCTCTGGTGGCAGAGTGCCCTAAGACATCTGACTGCTAACCAGAAGGTTGGCAGTTCAAACCCACCAGCCACTCTGTGGAAGAAAGCCTGGGCAATCTACTTCTATAAAGATTTAATACCTTGGAAACCAAAAGGGGATCGCTATGAGTTGGAATCGACTTGATGGCAGTGTTTTTTTTTTTTTTTTAAATTAACTCTCAAGGTAGGGGTGATACCTAGTGGAAAAAGTTGTATTTATTAATAGTAATAGCAATCAATGTATTATTTAGCATTTACAAGGACCGCTGGTGGGGCAGTGATTAAGCATTTGGTGACTAACTGAAAGGTCCATGGTTCTAAACTACCACCTGTTCTGTGGGAGAAAGACGTGGCAGTCTACTTCTTATAGCCTTGGAACTCTATGAGGAGGTTCTACTCTGTCCTACAGGGTGTCTATGAGTCGAAATCTACTGAAGGCAATGGGTTTGGCTTTGTTTTATATGCTACCCACAAATCTATGTTGTTGTTGTTATGTGCCGTCAAATCAGACCTGACTCATAGCAACCCCTCCCTGGGTTTCCAAGGTGGTATCACTATGGAAGTAGATTGCCTAACCTTCCTTTTGAGGAGTGGCTGGTGGGTTTGAACCACCAGCCTTCTGGTTAGCAGTCAAATGCCTTATGCACTATGCTACCAGATCTATTAGCAGGTAAAATGATTATCCTCATTTTGTGGATAAGGAAACAGTACAAAGAGTACACTAGCAGCTAGCTATCTAATGCATTTAAAGTGGACAGTTTTCTTTTCATTTGCAAAATCAGGTAAAATAACTCCATTTTATACTTCAGTGGTTCAAATGTGAATCAAACATCTCTACCTTTGTGCTACAACAGAATCGCTTCTATCCACAGATGACTCCTGGCTGGCTCCTATCTGTCATGAGGATTATTTGCATGATATAACAGCCATCTACTCCCCAGGGCGATATAAGTTCTAGGTTTAAATAAATCTGGACCATCAAAAGGCTACACAATTGAACTATGTTATTTTGGCCTCAAGAAAAATGTTTCTCACTTCTGCTTCACTATGAAGTTCTTAGGTTTTATGCAAAGCCATTACAAGAAAGAGACATAAGAAATGTTACTACTCTCTACTTCTGGCAATAGAAAAACTGATAATCTGAATCTCTTCCTCTACAAAAGCATTATGAAAATATAATAAATATCTATGTACATACATGTACGGAGTTTCCCCAGGGAATAAAAACTGAAGCTTGCAGGTGAGAGCAGGGAGAGGAAATAACTGGAAGGGGGATGAGGGAAATTTGATGGGATTCTTCTCTATTTTTAAAGGGGTTTGGCCTGTATAGATTTATGCATTTGTCAAAACTCAATGAATGATTCATTTATGATCTGTCCATTTCATTACCTCAAAAGAAAAAAAGCTCACAGACAGATACTGAACTCTAGTAAATGGAGTGATGTACACTTCGTGTGCACGTCTGAACCAAAGTTTTTAGGGATGATGTCTATTATAACTTATTTTAAAATTTATCAAGGAAATAAGATAAGCTGATGGATGGATACACAGACATTGTGATAAAGACAGCAAAAGAAAATGTTACTGAAAGAAGTGGTGGGTATATGGGTGGTCACTGTAAAATTCTTTTAACTTAAAAAAAATTTTATAATAAAATGCTAGGGGAAAAAAAAATGAAGATTAAGTTGACAGAGAAAATGCTCAGGTGTTTGGACCATAGCAACTGCTTCACCAGCAAATGCTAACAGCCCAGCCCTGGACCTAGACAATCAGAATCTGAGTAAAATTTGCACAGTAATGTTTGGGAAGCACTGCTCTAAGACGTTTGCAGATTTCGGTCGCCTACATCCTTGGTTTAATAGCTGTGGGAGCAAAACCTTGGACTGATCTGGTGGGGAGAGAGGAGTTGGACTGGGATCACCATATAAGCCTGTTATTCTCAAAGGGTAAATGCAAAGGAAGGCCAAAGAAATGTATGTCTCTGATTGGGCTCTAAGTGAATGTGGGAACGAGTAGGAACAAAAAGACTTCCTTCTGAATTTGTAAAAACTGTCTTTTCCTCTTGAGGGCTGGACATTTAAATTTCCACTACCTATATGCTCCTGGAGAATATAAACTAAAATATTAACACAGAGTGATGATCTCCTGGTGGGTAATGTCCACCTACTGGCAGAAACTAACATACAGCTTCTTTTGAGGGATATGCCTTCAATCCAAGCTGCCCAGAATTCCTACAGATAAATCCCCACTGAACATGAGGTCAGAATCCTAAACTATAAATGTAAAAATTGGTAAGTCAGTACAAATAAGACTCCGTGAAAGAAACTGTAGCAGCACTGGATAGCCGAGACATTGGACAGTGGGATTAATATATACTGAACAAAAATAACCATGTTAAAATTTTTAGAATAAACAATGGAATGGAAATCATGAGAAATAAATGAGATATATTAAAATAGACCAGAGAGATGTGGAGAAAGAATAGAAATTCTATTAATAATAATAATAAAAAGCTCAGTGAATTAGTTACATAGTAGATTATGCAAAAATAAAGAGAATATAAGTGAACGAAAAGATTAACCAGAAGAAATTACCAGAATGCAGCTGAGAGAAAAACAGATAAACAATATGAAAGAACAGTTAAGAGATAGGAAGGAGAAAATGAGAAGGATTAATGTCTTTCTAATCAGCGTTTCAGAAAGGTGGATCAGGATCTTATCTCTCACCAGACAACTACATCCACCTCCTCATAAGAAATCTTGTTTGTTTAGAGTCTTGAGCTCCCATCTGATTTCTACTCTGTGGTCAATATACATAACTAATGTCACTTCCCTACTCAAATTTCTCAATGGTCCAGATCACTTTTAGGGAAAAAAAACAAAAAAAACCCCACAATGAATTTACAAATCTACTTTATAAACTGACCCTTGTTTATCAACCCAGCTTTACCCCTGGCATACATCATTCCAACAATGCTGACTAAACTTCCAACTCCCAAAACATACTTGAGTTTCTCACACTTATGCTCTAAACAACTTTTCTCTTGCTCTGTCTGGAAAAATCAAACTGATCCTCCAAGTTTTTGCTCACATGCCATCTGCTTTTTCCCTAGCAGAACTCAGGTGTTCTTTGTCATATGGCCCTCCTATACCCTGAATGGGAGCTCTGGTAGCATAGTGGCTAAGACACTACTTGCCTGCTAACCAGACAGCTGGCGGTTCAACCCCACCAGCCATTCCTCGGAAGGAAGGTTGGGCAATCCTACTTCCGTAGTGATACTGCCTCGGAAACCCAAGGAGGGGTCGCTATGAGTCGGG